TCTAACTCCTACTGTCTTTCAGGTGTCAGGTGAGATGTCTCCTCCTCCAGGAAGCCTTCCTGGACCCCATTACTCACGTTCTCATGGTCCCCAGTGTTTCTGAGCACATTGTAGGTGCTCCTGAAATACGTATCGATAGATAGTTGCCAAATTGTCCCTAAATCAGCTCTCTGCTCTTCTCTGTCCCGGTGTAAACCTGCCTCCGCCTGCAAGGCCTTTCCTATATTCTCATTCCTCTCCAGTCTCTCCACTCCCTGTTCACCCATGGTCCCCTAGGTCAGAATTCCACATTTCGGTGTTTCTGCTATATTCCCCACATCAGATGGGCTGCAGCTGCAGACACAATGTCAACATCAAAGCCGATGGCCTAGGACAGTGATGGCGAACCTATGACATGCGTGTCAGAGGTGACACGCGAACTCATTTTTTTGGTTGATTTTTCTTTGTTAAATGGCATTTAAATATGTAAAATAAATATCAAAAATATGTCTTTGTTTTACTATGGTTGCAAATATCAAAAAGTTTCTATATGTGACACGGCACCAGAGTTAAGTTAGGGTTTTTCAAAATGCTGACACGCTGAGCTCAAAAGGTTCGCCATCACTGGCCTAGGAGCACCTACTTCCACAGGTTCTTAGGTGGCATGTGTGTTCAGATATACCCCCCCTCCTGCCCCACCTACACCACGGGGCCACATCCTGGGCATTTCTAACTTCTAACCTTCTCCAGAGCTATGAACCAAGGGTCCAAAGGGCCAGCCCCTGGCTTTACTTCATTTGAACTGTTTCAACCACCTTATAAGAAAGGTGCCTTTACTATCATTTCCCCATTTCACAGCTGGGAAAACTGAGGCACAGAGCAGTTTTGGCATTTGCCCAAGGTCACGTGGCTCCAAAAGACGGAGCTGGGGTTGAAACCAGGTGGTCTGGCTTTACGCCCTGAACTCTTGACTCTCATACTTCTCCCCTCCAGCTCTGACTAAAGGCTGGGCCCGCCTGTATTGTCACCCTTAATGGCTAGCTTGGGACTTCCAGGGCCAATGAGACCTCGCCTCTAACTGTAGCTACCCTCCCCAGCTTGATGGGGTACTCAGACCTCCCGGGGCTGTCCTGCTGGGTTTGGAACAATGAGTTATCCCCGTGGTCGGCAAACTGCGGCTCTCGAGCCACATGCGGCTCTTTGGCCCCTTGAGTGTGGCTCTTCCTAAGCCTTAGGAGTACCCTAATTAAGTTAACAACAATGTACCTACCTATATAGTTTAAGTTTAAAAAATTTGGCTCTCAAAAGAAATTTCAATCGTTGTACTGTTGATATTTGGCTCCGCTGACTAATGAGTTTGCCGACCACCGAGTTATCCTAACCAAAGGGGAGGTAATTAATCATTTAATTCCCACTGCAAGGATGTGCGGAAGAACTGGGGCAATCGGAAGGTTTCCAGACAGAGGAAAGCTGTGTCTTGGGATGCCATGAGGCTTTGGCTCATGGATGAGTAATGTTTCACGCTACTTTGGGGACTCCCTGACATTACTGGTTAGGAAAAAACAAACCTGCAGCTTGATGCACAGAGACTCATCCTCATGGGTTGAAAGAACCCAGTCCCCACTCCTGAGAACACGGAGCCCTTACATTCCACACACTGTTCTACGTGTCTTTTTTTTTTTTTTTTTTTTTAATTTTTAAATATATTTTATTGATTTTTTACAGAGAGGAAGGGAGAGGGATAGAGAGCCAGAAACATCGATGAGAGAGAAACACCGATCAGCTGCCTCCTGCACACCGCCCACTGGGGATGTGCCCACAACCAAGGCACATGCCCTTGACCGGAATCGAACCTGGGACCTTTCAGTCCGCAGGCCGACGCTCCATCCACTGAGCCAAACCGGTTACGGCTGTTCTACGTGTCTTACATGCAGGATTATTCCTATGACTGTCTGAGCTGGCTGTTGCAACACTCCCATTTTGTAGTTGGGGAAACTGAGATCCTAATTCTACAGCTGGGAAAGGGGCGATGCTGGTCTCAGGAGGCCGGGGGCACCTGCCACTCACACATTCCACTGAGGTGGGCCCAGCCTATAGAATGGTTGGTTTCAGGGCCATGGCCGGTGGCCACTGATTTGGGGGCAGGGCATGATCTTGGCTCCTTGGTCCTAGGCCAGTGATGGCGAACCTTTTGAGCTCGGCGTGTCAGCATTTTGAAGAAGCCTAACTTAATTCTGGTGCCGTGTCACATATAGAAACTTTTTGATATTTGCAACCATAGTAAAACAAAGATTTATATTTTTGATATTTATTTTACATATTTAAATGCCATTTAACAAAGAAAAATCAACCAAAAAAATGAGTTCGCGTGTCACCTCTGACACGCGTGTCATAGGTTCGCCATCACTGTCCTAGGCCCTCGAGTCTAACCTGCTTCCACCCTGCTGAGTGGAAAAATGGATTCCAATTCTTTTACTTTCCTTTGTTTGAGCCCATAGCACAACTGCCCAACGAGATACCCACAGGACCCGGACAGGTAGCACAGGTGAGGCCTGAGGCAAATCATGGACATGTGTCCTGTTGAAAGGGAGTAGCCACTCAGCTGGCTGTTGTCACATTGGAAGGTTGGCCCGGTGTGGCCTGATCTTAATGGTTTTCCAGGGAAGCCGGTAAAATCTCGATTTTTATATGACATTCCCCCATATTTTAATGGTGGTAAACTAATTAAAAAGTTTTTAAAAACACCATTTTGTAAAACACCGCTGAGTGCCAGATCTGACCCCCAACTTGCACCCCCAACTCCAGAACAAAGCAAGCAGGACACCCAGACCTTATTATACAATTCTGTATTGAGCGACGCATTTACAGAACGTGTCCCTTTTTTTAAAATTTTAAACAAAGTTCATCAATTTCTCATAGAAACTGTTTTGTGGGTTTTTGTTTTGTTTCCACTGTGATAGGACATGACCCTGACAAAGCTGTTCACGGGTCCACTAGCTTTAAGTACAACAGGATTTCCGTGTTCAAAAGACTATACTAAGTGCTTAATCAAATCCCGTCACACAAAAGCCAGATTTCATTTTCTAAGGATTGTGGTCTGTGTATAGGCCTGAATTTCAATGGTGTGTGGGTTTCAACAGTAAAAAGTGGTGTGTTCCCCCATGGTGTCTTACTTGTGACAGGGCAGTGGTGACTAAAAGGAGCTGTTTTATTTGTTCCAGATTTGATGACTCTGAAAATTGGTCACTGTTTCCTATTGTCAAAATATAAAAATACCTTCATCTGGATAAAAATGTATACAGTGGAAAACTCTTCAATGCATAGCCTGGGTGTGCGGAAAAGACGTTCCTGAAGGGTTTGCGCTGTTCTTCATTGACTGGCGTGGAGACTGTAGCCTGGGCTGGGTGCATGAGAGTTGAGATTTCTGGAACGGCCCTCAATTGTCCCTTTCTGGTCATCAGGTTTCACTGGCCTGGTTTCAAAATGCTTTCAGCATCTGTGAAACCCCCGTCAGCCATCTCTCTCCCTGGCAATGGATAGGCACCGATTATGGCCACCTTTTCTTCATCATTCTGTATTTAGGTAGGGAGGTACCCAACTCAACCTTCCCACAGAGTTTGAAAAAAGATAAGAAATAAAATCAGGAGAGAGATTCAACAACCAATACTGTGGCTGTTCCATCCAGATTGGGGACTCTCCCTCTAGAAACCATCAAGATGCTGGAGGAACGGTTTCTGAATTAGAGGGTTGAGTCTTTGCTCCCCAAAAGGTCATGTGATGGAAGGCAGGAGGGTGGATGTGGAGACTGGGCTACGGTGGTCATGCTGCAGCAAACTTAACCTTCTTGCTTGTTCTGCATCGACCTGGAGTTGCAGACGCCGCCCAGAAGTAGCACTGGGTCCACTTGAGAGATGGAGAAGGGGGCCTGGGGTCTCTGGTGTGATGAATCTACTTTTCGGTGCTGAGAGCTGAGCTGGGTGCTTGTGGGGTGACCAACGCTGTTGTTTCCTTAACACACAAAAGGGGAAGATGGCGGCCACCGTCTTGCTCTGGAAAAGTAGGAGGGAGACTTCCTGACTGTGGCCATGACTCAGGTTGGGGAGTGGGGTCACCCTGGCTCAAGTGCCACCCTCCAATCACCTGCCTCCATAGGATCCGGAAACACATCCTGTCTACAACGGACGAGCTGGATGTCCGACCTCTGCGGCCCAGAGGTTTCTGACTAGAGGGAGTGCAGGCAGTTCATTTTGTACCACGTTACATCTCAGATAGGACAGTCGGCCACAGCCCACATCTCGACAACATTTACAACGGCACAACATTCTGTGTTATCAAGGTTGCAAAACAGACCACCAGAATGAAACACGTCCTCAACAGCATCGAGGTTTTCGTTTAGAGTCTTTTGGACTTTCTCTTTCCAGCACGGTTTCTGGAAGGGCAGGAGCAGTGCGCTGTGTCTCATAGACAGACATGGGAAAAAACCGTGGTTCAAAGGTTATCTAAATTTTGGTCAGTCTTAATAGTGTTTTGTGATGGCTTTGAACAATTGTCTTCTTTTAATCTCATCTAGTGGCAAAAATGACACAACTTCAGTGTACACTTCGCAACAGTTGTGACAGCATCCTGATTTTATAACTCTCTATAATATCAAAACAGCATCGGCTGGGAATAAATTCCAAAGGATCCTTTATTAAAATATCTAAAAGAGGTCTATAAATATTTATTTATTTTTCTAAAAGAGTTTGGAGTTTCCAGGTGAAAATGTGGCGCCACTTTGCTTTGCCTCCTGCAGAGGCCAGAGTAGAGAAGAGGGTGCTCCCTGGGGCGGGCGTGCCAAAAAGGGGAGGCAGTGGCATCTGCCCCACCTGCTCGCTCACAACTTATAGAACTAGGATTACAACAAAAAACGTAAGTGGCATAACACTGCTGTCCACATTTTGGTGGTTGAGTTCCTCCCTCCTGTACCCTGCCCTGTCTGGGAGAGAGAGTGACAGAGTGAGGATGGCCCCTTGCCCTCGCTTTCAGAACTCCCACTCCAAAGCCTCCTCCCGATTGGCAGCCCTCTCTAGCCGGTAGATGATGCTGTTCAGGTTGGCCATCTTCTCATGCCGCCGCTGCAAGTTGGGGTTCACCTTGGCACTGGGGTGCAAGGCCCCAGCCGTGTCGGCAGTGGGGCTGGCACTCGGCACTTTGGCAGGGGGGGCGCCGGGCGGGGATGGCGAGATGGGAGCTGAGGAGGAGGGGACAGGTGACACAGACATCATGAGGCCTGGTGAGGAGGCAGCCGAGGGTGAGTTCAGTGACACCTCCAGGCTGCAGCGCGAGGACTCTGAGGCCGACTTAAAACTTAGAGGGTCCAGGTGTAGCTGCTCTCCAGCCCTGCTCTCCTGGGGGGGCTGTAGTAAGGGGCAGTCTGGAGGAGGCCCGCTTGGAAGAAGAGGTCCTGGGGCCACTTTTGGGAGCCCATCATTACCCAAAGGGTCTGGATGCATCTCTTTGGGAGAACCGTGGCCTTTGTCCTGCTCCCCGGAGTCCTGGAGCTGGCTGCCCGCCTCTTCTTCAGCATTGTCCTCAGTCTGTTCCTGCTTGATCCTCACTGGGGCCCTGTCCTGGGCAGTCAGGGGAGTGATGCTCGCCTCAGGGCCCTCCTGGAGCTCAAGTTCCTTTACCGTAGGCTTCTGGTCCTCAGCCTCAGAGTCGGGGCTCTGTGGGGTGGGGTCTGAGTGGGAGTGGCCTGGTGGTAGAATGCCAGTACCCGCACTGGGGTCGAGATCTGGTTCATCTTGGGTCCCCTCCACCAACATCTCCCGGCGCATCCGGGACCTGGGGCAGAGATGACGGTGAGCGAGGAGATGGAGGGGGAACCAGCTAACCCTGAACTCACTCCACGTGAAGGGCATTTTGACTCCACCCACTTCCCTGGGGGTTCAGTAGGAACTAAGATCCTTCACATGCAGCATCTTAGCAAGTCCTCCCCACAACCGTGCAAGGTGGGTGCTATTACTATCCCTGCTTCACAGAGGACAAAACAAGGCCCAGAGATGTTGATTGACTTGCCCAGTAAGTGGCAGGGCCAATACTTAAGCTCAGGACTATTGGATTCCAAAGACCATGATCTAGACCTGCACTATCCAGTATAGCAGCCACTATGGCTCTTGAGCACTTGAAATGTAGCTAGTGAGAATTGGTATGTGATGGAAAGGCAAGCTTTTGTAAGCTTAATACCAAAAAATGAAAAGTAAAAGAGCTCATTAATAAAGTTTTTATATTGATTAAAATGTTAAAATGGTTTATTTATTGGACTAAGTAAAAATAAACTACTACAATTAATTTTATCTGTTTTATTATTTGTAAATGTGGCTACTTGAAAATTTTAAATGACATATGTGGCTTGCATTATATTTCTATTGGACAGTGCTGTTCTAGAGCATTTCTCAAAGTCAAACCCAGATCTAGTTTGTGGCAACAACTCCCTGCCTCATTCCTGGAGGGACTCTTCGACATCAGCCCAGAAGGGGAAACTGAGGCAGAGAGAGTGACTTGTCCAGATCACCACAGAACACAGAGGCAGAGCTGGCACTGGAGTCTGGGTACCCAGAATTCTAGTCCAGAACCCATTTTCTCTTCAATAGCCTCCCTGCTGTGTGAGGGAAACTTAGTCTCATACGTCATGTTTTAGAGCATTGGAAGAGCCAGGCATGGGTCTAAGCCCATTAATTATTTTCTTAATAGCAAATGAGGTCCAGGGAGGTCAAATGACTCATCTAAGGTAATCAAACAATAGGACTTCCTCAGCTTCTTCAATGCTGTAGCCTTCTGCCCATTTATATTAATAATTAAGTACATTATTGATATGTAATGTAACAGCTGTAATTATTATAAACATAATAATAATGGCTGCTTATATGTACCGGGCACCAGGCCAACTCTTTTTGCAGATTATCTCATTTATTTTTCATAATAACCTTGTGAGGGGGACATTATCATTATCATTCCCATCAATAAACGAGATGAGGCTCAGAGAGGCACAAGGATAGCCACGATCAGAGTCAGAAAGTAGAACAGTTGGGCTTTGAACCTAAAAGTCTCGCTACACTCTCCTGCCTCCCTGGCTCCCTGCCCAGGTGGGGGACGATGCCCCATTCCAGGATCCTGGGCTTAAGAGGGACTGTGAGGGATCATCTGGTTCACTTCCTGTCTCAGTCCCCAGTCCCTGCACAAAGGTGGCCTTGTCCACTTTACAGTGACTCTGCCATCTCCCTGTCCCTGTTAAAGGGAAAAGCTGCAGGGACCAGGGGCAGCCATCGTAGTTTCCAGTGAGGTAGGATTTGAGGGAGGTTTAGGATGGCTCAAAGTCTGCAGCTCCATCATGAGAACTTCCAAACTGCAGATCAAATATAAATATGAAGCTAAGAGTCATTCATACTATAGTATAAATTAGTCTTTGCAAGCCCCAACTCCCAAATGTATAACTGGGGCCATCCTGGTAATTTTTTCTCAGAACATCCTGTTGTTTGCCTTTCTCAGAGCTCACTGCAGTTTGTAATGATACATTAATAGAAGTGCTTGTTTAATAGTGACCTTTTCTGGTGGTCTGCAGGAGATGCTGAGAGTAAGAACTTTGTCTTGTTCTCTTCAGTGCCTGGTACAGAGTAGGTGCTCGATAAACATTTATCAAATGAAATAATGTATTCTTCTATACCTACAACTTTTTGAGAGTGGTTATTTTGGGGAGTGCAATTCTCTTTGCTCTTTGGTGCAAATTCCTATTGATCCTTTCAAACCCAGCTCAAATGCCACCTCTTCTGTAAAGTCTTCACCAGGAGGCAGAATTCCTTTTCCCTCAGCCCCTATTCCTTCCTGTTTCACAGCATTTATTAGGTTGTAGAAATTATCTGATTCATGATTTTGAATGTTGCTTTGATCACATTTCTCCAGACCTTGGCTTACTGTACACACTTGGCAAATATCTGTTGAATGAATATTTTGAATAATAATGGAGTGCTCAGTTCCCGTGGGGAACAAAAGGGGTGAGGATATCCTATATCCCCCAGAGAGAGAAGGAGCATGTGCAGTTTTAAGAACCTATTTCGTTTGATGTTTGGCAGGGTGTGGGTCTGAGCCAGACAATAAGGAATATTTCACAATGTTTACACCTCAAGTGGTTCATTTGATCCCTGATTCAGCATTATCTGTAAAACAGGAATGAGACTCAGAGAAGTTCAGTGACTTGCCCAAGAACACACAGCCAAGTGGGCCTTGAACTCAGGTCTGTGTGATGCCCATGCCTGGGCTGTGGAGAGAGATTTCAAGTGTTCCTCCCTTCCAGCCTCCTCCTTCCTCTTCTCCCTTGGGGATCAAGAGACCTTCTTTCTGTCCCTAGAACATGCAGATGGACTCTCCTCTCTGGCACCACATGGACACCAGAGACATTTCCTTCTCAGGAAGCTTGGCAGGGGCGCCTCAGACATGGTCCCTTAGAACCCATTAAGTCTTCTCCACAGGGCTCTCAACCAGCCTTATGAAGCCCCTCTGCCAGATCCGGTCAACAACCCGACAAAATTGCAGGAGGCCCAGCCCACTGCAGGTCACTGCAGGTCAGTGACTCCAACACTGGGGCCTTGTGAGTGGGAGGAGCTTAATACCACTGGCTTAATGCCAGCTGGTCTCGGAGTGGGAGAGGCCAAGACCCCTAGTCAGGGCTCCAACGTGAGGCTGAGTGGGAAGTTAGGTTCCTCAGGCCTGTGCCCCATTCCCTATCCCTCACACAGGCAGACACAGAGTAAGCTGGGGAAGTCGTAATGAAGACAGTGACAATAGTAACATCAACATCCACTACATCCTATGTGCCAGGTATTTTATGTAAATATGTTAGCCCATTGAATCCTCAGGACAACTCTGTGAAGTAGATCCCATCATGGTCCCCATTTTACAGGTTAGAAGACTGAGGCTCAGGGAGATGAAATGACTAGCCCAGGGTCTCACAGCTAGAAATGGTGAAGCTGGGATTTACATCCAGGTTTATCTACAAATCTAAACACCCTTGCAATACAGACTCCTCATCTCCCAGAGGCCATCCATGCTGGGCTCCCTCCAGGCCCTGGGATGGGGAAGAGGGCCCTGCAGAGACCCTGCCCATCCCCCGAGCGGGTCCTCCCTAGTTGTCCCACCTGTAGTTGTGGAACCAGTTGATGACGGTGTTGGTCTTGAGGTTGAGCTGAAAGGAGAGGAGCTCGATGGTCTGCTGGGAGGGGTAGGGCTCCAGTTGGTAGGCCTTCCTCAGGGCCTCCTTCTCCTCGGGCGCCAGCACCACTCGGGGCTTCTTGATTTGCAGGAGGCTCAGGTCCTGGGGCTGCAGGCAGGGGCTGGGGCACTCGGAGTGGGTGGTTGGAGACTCACTGTCTGAACCGGTGCTGATGAGGCCGTACCTGCGCTTCAGGTAAGCTGGGTGGGCAGGGGAGAGAGGGAGGGCTGAGAGGGGCCTGACCCAAGGCTCATCAATACCCTCACCCCCATCCTCCAGGGGCAGCAGGGGCTGGGAACGCAGTAAATGCATCTCAACCTCAAATCATCAAAATGTGTGTGTGTGTGGGGAGCCCATGTGAGAATGGAGGGTGTAAGGTATTAGGGTCTTATTAAATCCTCACAGCAATGCCCTGAGGTAGATGCTACCAACTTAATTTCAGAAGAAGAAGAATGAGGCACAGAGAGGGGAAGTAACTTGCTACAAAGGTCACACAGCCAGCAGGTGGCAGGCCAAGTTCTCAGCTGCAAAGCTATTTGTGCCAACAGCGGAGGCGTGGCCCTGGCTCACGTGTCCCTCACGGCCTGGCTTGACCCTGGACTCTCTACTCACGAGCTGTCTTGGGTGCCTTGGATGACAACTTGTTAGCTCCTGGTACCTCATCTCCCAACTGGGCCCTGAGCTTTTTAATTTAAGTTCCAGGGATTCCTTACACACATCATGAGATTGTGGATACACAGCAAGTGCTCAGTGACTGCTCATTTTCTCAGGGATAAAAGAAAATATTGGACAATATAAGCATCTGCAATCTCCTTGCCCCACCCAGTTCCCATCTCCACCCCAGAAGTCTTTTTTTTTTTAAAAAATATTTTTTATTTTAGAGAAGAAAGGAGAGGGAGAGAGAGATAGAAACATAAATGATGAGAGAGAATCATGGATCGACTGCCTCCTGCACGCCCCACAATGAGGATTGAGCCCGCAAACCGGGCATGTGCCCTAAACAGGAATTGAACCCTGACCTCCTGGTTGATAGGTCGGTGCTCAGCCACTGAGCCATGCCGGCCGGACCACCACAGAAGTCTTGTTGGCTGGGTCAATTCTTGTGTTGTTTTGCAGTAATCGGCACAGGGGAATCTATCTACATATTATACATTAGGACAGGGGTCCTCAAACTATGGCCCGCGGGCCACATGCAAATACAAATATTGTATTTGTTCCCGTTTTGTTTTTTTACTTCAAAATAAGATATGTGCAGTGTGCATAGGAATTTGTTCATAGTTTTTTTTTTTAAACTATAGTCCGGCCCTCCAACGGTCTGAGGGACAGTGAACTGGCCCCCTGTTTAAAAAGTTTGAGGACCCCTGCATTAGGAGCTGGTGCAGAGGATAGAGAATCAGAGAAGGGGTGTTTTTGGGAACATGCAGAGGGGTTGGGAAAAGACTTTGAAGTAGCTACAGGTGTGTGAAAGGAAACTGAGAGAGACAGGGACTGGAATTCTCATGGGAGAAGTACTAAATTATTTTCATTGCTTTCACACTGTGGGATTCCTATTTCTTGCAGTCCCGCACCAGGCTGAGGCTGGACCACTGAGGGCCTGGGTTAGTTGGGTTACAACCAGATACGGTTCCAGTGGGAAAACCTGAGGCCAGACCCAGAGGACCCAGTGCTCACCTTTCTTCTCCAGCTTCTTCATGTCCCTCAGCTTCTCCACGTTGTGGGGGTCATTGAGCCACAGCTGCATTCGCACAAAGGGCTCCCGCCCCTTCAGGCTGAGCTTGTGCCAGGGTTTGGGCCGAGACAGCAGGTCGGACACGGAGCCCTGCGTCAGGCCCAGGATGCTCTCCCCGAATAGCCGCTGCCCTGGGGACAGGGGCAGGGACAACTGTCACCCTGGCAGAGGTGCTCTCAGGAGAGATAAGAAATGGGAGAGGCAGAGGGGAGAACCCAGGATGTCTCCACTAACTCAGACACGGCGGGAACCTACATCCAGTGTGGATCTAGAGGGGACCTTTCAGCAAAATAGAAGATGGAATTGGGGGGAGGGGAGGCACGGCGCGGACCAGACAGCTACCAACAAAATTGCTTTCATACTTTAGATTTTCTTCACTCCTAGGAGATGCCTGAAGTTGTCTGCATACTTCACATGTATAATTAGTATCACCTTGTTAGAGTAATCTGACAGATTCTAGCAAAACTTCCACGTGCACATCCTCTGACCGAACACTACCACTGGATCTACCCTCCAGCTGTACTTGCCCAAGGGCACAAAGATGCATCTGGACTAGTTTCAGAGGCAACAGGAAATTGGAAACAACCAAAATGTCAACCGGTTGGGTAAAAAATGTAGGCCATCCATGGCCTAAAACACTACAACAGTGCAAAAAAATGCAGGCGGCCTAATTATTCTAACATGGAAGAAAAAGCAAGCTGGTCCTGGCTGGTTTGCTCAGTGGTTAGAGTGTCAGCCTGTGGACTAAACGGTCTTGGGTTTGACTCCTGGCCAAGGGCATGTACCTCTGTTGCAGGTTCAATCCCTGGCCCCAACTGGGGTGCGAGAAGGAAGCAACCAATCAATATGTCTCTCTCACGATGTTTGTTTCTCTCTCTCTCTCTCCCCGACCCCCTTCCATTCTCTCTAATAAAAAAAAGTCAATGGGAAAAAACATGTCCTCAGGTGAGGATTAAAAAAATAAAAAAATTCTTTAAAAAGTAAGCTGTATGTGTATGTTGTATAATTGTATCTATATAGAAAAGAGAAAAGAAGAAACTAGTGACATATATTCTTGTGAGTGTTCAGAAAAGTATCAAAGATACATAAAAACTGGATTCTGATTGGGAGGCTTGAGAGTTGTTATTTATTTACTTTCAACTTATCTTAATTCTCTAGGAACCCAGGTCAGAGTTAGATGCCTCCCAGAGGGTCTTGGGTGCTCTAGGACTGCTGGGTGGGCTGGACCCCAGTGCCCTGCGATCTCACTGTGGGGATCTCACTCAAGAAGAGTGGGAGCTAACCGGGTGGGAGGCAGCATCCCCCAGTCCCACCACCCCTTACCTAGGTTATTGTCTGTGAGAACCTCCTTGACCCTCTTGGTGATGGAGTAGGTGTCCAGCTCGGGGGACATGGCCACAATCTCCTGGATGCCCCCTGTGGCCTGGCTGCCCGAGCACATCTTCCCACTCAGTGAGGAGCTGGAGCGTCCCTCTGGCTGCTGGTTCTCCTTGCTGCTCTCCAATACCAGGCTCAAGGGCTCCTGGGAGCTCTTCTCGGGCTCCGTGGGGCTAAGGGGTGGAGATGGTGAGGACCTGGGTTCGGTGGGACTGGCTGTGGGCCAGAGAGACGGAGAAGGTGGTTACTGCATAGTCACACACAGTTTAGACAGTCTTACTTGTTAGAGCCAAGAGTTGGCAACAATCCATTTTGCAACCACCACAGTAATAGCTCAGGCAGGGACAGTCCTGGATGGGAAAACTAGCAGATGAAAGTTTACATAGTCGCAAAGTATCTCCCCACAAGATACTTATTAGTTACAAAGAGATACCTGGCAGATACCACCTCAACCAAGTGATCAAAGGAAACACCACCAATCATGGGTCAAATCAACAACGGGCGCCTCCTGATACAATGCGAAGCGAGGACACAGCATTGCTTCGGTGATATTCCTGCTGGAAGGGTGCGGCCTCAATCTGATCACAAGAAGCACCAGACAAAGCCGAATGGAGACAGTCTCTAGAATAACTGGCTTCACTATAATTTCTTGCTTGTGCTAGATGTCTCCCTTATCAGATAACAACGATGAGGACAGTAATCAACAAAACTTCCTTTCACTGAGCACTTACCACATGCCCAGTGTAGTGCTACGTGTTTTACGCCCATGATCTCAAGTCACCAAAAACATGCCTAGGAGACAGGTGAGGAAACTAAGGCTCAGAGAGATTAAAAAAGTATGTGCCCCAGTCACACAGTGACTATAGCAACGTCAGGACTAGAGCTCAGGTTTCCTCTCACCCACCGATTAGGATTTTCTGGAAGACAGGAGGTGGTGGTTCGACTATTGAGTGAATAAATTTCGGCTGGGACCCGATTACCCTGAAGGTGCAGAGAGAAGCCTTAAAGTTCTGAGTAGTGCACCACAGCCCCAGGTGGCAGGCAGCCCCTGTCTGGGGTCTTGAGGACTCTATGGTCCCACCTGCCCCCAGATTGGCTGATCCTGGATATCTAGGCGACATCTGTGTGATGCTGGAACTGACATGGACATGTCCTCTGATGACTGTCACCAGCAGAAACACAAAGTTGGTGGAGAAGGGCCAGCCTGGGAAAACAAGAGGCTGTTTCAAGTATCCACCCATTGCTGGCAGGCGGGGGAAGGGGGCTGGGCTCAGCTGGAGTCTCCCCTTTACCCCTTCTTTCCATTCTTAGGCTCCATGACTTTGGGCAACTCTCTGAGCCTCAGTTTCCTCACCGAGGCAAAGTCCAAACTCCACCTGCCTATGTCTCATGACAGCTGCTCAAGGCCCTGTGCTAAGGATTCTGAGGCTGCATGCTGGATCCTTGGGAAAAAAGACATCAATCGGCGATTCTGATGGGATCAGAGGGTGGGGCTCCACATGTAAACTATTTTCTACACTTGCTTGGGCGCCACCTGGAGGTTTAAAACCAGCGATAGATGCATCCCTCTGATTGAAGGAAGCAAGGGGGGCAGGGACACCAGCTAGGAACACACTGCAGTCTTCCAGGGCAGCAATAATGGTGGCCAGGGCAGTGGGGCCAGAGAGAGAGGCAGTAAAGCAGATGCACGTGCCATCACAGAATGGAAGAGTGAGGGCTCTCCGCAGTTTTGGGGGCTGGTAGCACCCCTCAAAAGAGCCCCATGGGCACTCACCTTGTGAGGCGCTGGGCTGCTGGCCAATGGCCTGCCCAAGCTGGTCCGAGAGCCACAGCTGCATGCGGATGAAGGGCTCCCGCCCCTTCTGCGTCAGCTTGCTCCATGGCTTCGGCCGGGACAGCATGTCGCTCACACTGCCCTGTGACAGACCCAGCACCTGGGGACCGGTGGTGCAGAAAGGGTGGGTCAGCAGGCTCCTGGAACACAGGCCATCACCTCCCCTCTCCCCTAAGACTCTTAGGGATCACTGGTCACTCTGTTGCCTGAGAGGCCAGGGCTGTTTTCATTTGTTCATTTCCCAGGTGTGTGCCTGTGTAGTACCCTCACCTGCAGTGCCCTTCCCGATTTCCCTACATGTAAACATCTACCTAGCTATTAAGACCCCCTTAAGTGCCCCCTCCTCCAGGAAGCCTTCCTGTGTCTCCCACTTAGGTTACTCACTTCTCCCTCCTCGGCTTGTTTGTTTGCCTGCTCCTCTGCTATGGGCAGAGGTGATGTTAAAAAACTACTTAACCACTGGTACTGCGGGGGCACCAACCAACCAAGAGGCCCCTTTAGTAGCTGGACCAATGGAGGGATATAAGGTCCTGCAGGAGGGGAGCTAAATAGTTATTTCTAGCCAGGTGGAAGTGTTTTACTGCTTTAACAACCACAGAACTGAATGCCAGCCTTTCCCATGACCCTTTCCCACAGAACCCAGGGACAGCTAGATATAGAAGAACTAGAGGCCCGGTGCACGAAATTTAGGCACTGGAGGGGGGGGGGGTGGTCCCTCAGCCCAGCCTGCAGCCTCTCGCAGCCCAGCCTCTCGCAGTTGGACATCTTTAGCGCTGCGCAGAGGTAAGAGAGGCTCCCACCTCCACCGCTACGCTCACCAGCCATGAACCTGGATTCTGGCTGAGCGACACTCCTCCTATGGGAGTGCACTGACCACCAGGGGGCAGCTCCTGCATTGAGTGTCTGACCCCTGGTGGTCAGTGCAAATCATAGTGACCGGTCGTTCCGCTGTTTGGTCAATTTGCATATTAGCCTTTTATTATATAGGTTGAGCTTTTGGGGTCACAAGAACCTGGGTTCAAATCATGCTTTTGTCCTGTTCTTGCTTCTTTTCAGACCATGGGCACTTGGGGCTGTGTCATCAGGTCGTTCTCATTCCCTGGGTCCCATGGCCCTGAGCCTCCTGCCCTACCTGCTCCCCTGCCCCTGTCTTCACCTTCTCCCCGAAGATCCTCTGGCAGATTCCGTTCTTGGCTAGCTTCTCCTTGACCTGGCGCGTCAGTTCCAGCGTGTCCACCTCACGGTACATGTAGAGCTCGTACTGCTCTGGGGTCAGGGGCGGCACGGTGGGCTTCAGTGTGCGGGGCACGTATGTTGGGTAGTAGGCTAGCCGCCCGCTGCTGCCTGACTCAGAGATGCCCCCCTCGGCCTTGAGCTCGCCCAACTTTGGGGGTTCATCCTCACCCCCAGCCGCTTCATCCTCAGGGATTGTGGGAGCCTCATCCCCACGGGACCAGGCCCGTCCATTGGGTTGGCCAGAGTAGCTGGAGGAGGAGGAGGAGAGTGAGGGTGAGACGGAGGTGTTGTAGGGGTGGCTGAGCAGGCCGCGGTCTGAGGCCCAGTGCTGATCAAAGTAGCCAGCATCACCGATCTCTGACTTGACCTTCCGGATGATGCTCTGCACGAAGGCAGCAGGAGACAGGACAGTGAGGGATGTCTGTGTGGCACTGCTGCTGGTCCCCCCGCTGCCGCTGCTACCACTGCTGTCCTCCTGCTTGACGTAGGTTGGAGCCCCATTCTGGCTCACAGCTGCCAGTGAGGGCCGCTCTGGGGGTGAAGGAGGCACTGAGCGGCCCCGGGGTCCTGCCTCCATCTCCAGGAGGGCCTGCTGCTGTGCTTGCATCTCCCGGCGTGCCTGTTCCAGAATGTTCTTGATGGCATCTTCTGAGGTGCTGGCAGAGGGTGTGCCATTAGTGATGGTCAATGGGGCTGTCAAGTTCTTGGGCTCACCTGTGGGTGGATGACAGGGTGGCCAGAGGCCAGTCGTCAGGACATGGCACCAAGGGCAACAAAGATGGTCACAGCATTGGTATTTATGCCAGCAAAATGTTGGAGGTAATTTCTGTGTCCACCATTTGGGGATTGATTAAGTAAATTATGGTCCAACTGTTTGGCAGACTATTGGGCAGCCATTAAAAATCAGGTAGACAGTGAGATTTTAGCATATATGAAGAAAGTATTTATGTGGATAATCTGATATAAAAAAGACCTGTCTTTTACATATGCTATGATCCATCTACACAAATGTTCAAAGACAAGAAAAATACTATAGCACATAAAAGAGGCTGCTTCATTTGTTCTAACTGGAAAATAATGGCATGAACCCAAATACTCATGGAGGAGAGGATGGACAATAGTGGCATGGCCACACAACAGAATACTATACAGCAATGAAAAAGGAAGTCACTGTGCAAAACCACACATGAATCTTAACATAATTTTGAGCAAAAACAGCAAGTCCCAGAAGGTGATACACAGTATAATTCACTTTCTATAAAGCTCCAAAACAAACAAAATAAATAATATATTATTTGGTAAAAAATCTTTTTAATAAGTAGTAAACAAAAAGAACAATAGAACAGTGCTTCCCTCAGCCCTCTGAGTGGCTTTTCCTGCTCTGGGTCTCCCCACCCCTGGACCAAGCCAGATCAACACTGCCCTTTCTCTATTATCTTGTTGTCCAGTCTCCACCCCAGTGGATCCCACAGTCCAATTAAAAATAATTTATGTTGCTTTTCTGATTAAAAGGTAATACAGCAATGGAATATTATTCAGCCATAAAAAGGAATGAAGCAGAGATACTTGCTACAACATGGATGAATCTCAAAAACATGCTGAGTTAAAAGCTGCCAGACACAAAAGGTCACACATTGTATACTTTCCATTCATACATAGGTAGAGCCATAGAGACTCCCCTGTTCCCCAACTGCTGGATACTTAGGTGTTTCTAGTTTGTCATTGTTGTGACAATGATAAAAGAAAAGCTTGTATATAAATCTTTGTGCCCAATCTGGGTGGGGCATTGTAGGTTCCTCGCAGGGTAAACCTCCTTCCACTCCCTCTCAGGGACCAGGCCAAGGAGAGGACCCTTGGGAAACTCATGGCTCCCAGCAGCAAGCAGAAGCTTGGAAATCAGGTCACTTACTCTGAGTCACCACCAGGGGGCAGAAGACACTGAAAGAGAGTGGGAGTGCTGAAACCTGTTCTAAGTCAGCAACTGTCTTATAACCAACCGCGTGCTGGCTGCACAGAAGCAACTGGGTTCCTAGCTGCAAGAAGCCTCAGACCAGGGGAGGGACAGCCACATTAGCAGTCATTTGTAACATAAGCAAATACAACAATAGAGACATAATGACAATATTAACGGTAACAATGGCTAACCTTTCAGAGGCACCTTCTACATGCCAAGTCCTAGGTTGAGTGCTTGCCAGGATTGATCTAATTTGATCCTCACACAACCTTAAGGAGTATTAACACTACCCTCATTTTAAAAATGAGAAAATGCAGGCACAGAGAGGCTAAGTAAACTTGCCCAGGGTCACACAGCTAATAAACAGCAGGGTCAGAATGCGCAGCAAGACAAATCTGGCTCGCCGAAACCGGTTTGGTTCAGTGGATAGAGCGTCAGCCTGCGGACTCAAGGGTCCTGGGTTCGATTCCAGTCAAGGGCATGTACCTGGGTTGCGGGCACATCCCCAGTGGGAGATGTGCAGGAGGCAGCTGATCGATGTTTCTCTCTCATCGATGTTTCTAGCTCTCTATCCCTCACCCTTCCTCTCTGTAAAAAATCAAGGGAACGGATTCTCCCCTAGATCCTCCGGAAGGAACGCATCCCTGCCGACTCATTGACTAGCTCAGGGAGGCTAATCTTCTGCCCCACCCACCCCACCCATGAGATAATAAATTTGTATTGTTTTCGGCCACTGAATTTGTGGCTAACAGCAGCACTAGGAGATGAATCTGGTGCCCCATGGGAAGGTGTGGATGGCATGGTCACAGAAGCAGAAGGAAGCCAGACAAGTGTCTCCATGGGATATAGAAGGTACAGGTGCAAGGGTGAGACTAACAGTTGGGGTGAGGCTCAGGCCTCGGTGTGTTTGACAGCTCAGAACTGTGATGAAGGAGACATTCCGAGTTGTGCTGTCCCATATAGCCGCCACTAGTCACCTATGCAATGGGGCCAGTGTGACTCAAGAAGTTGTAATTTTATTTAATTTGAATTTGAATGAATATAGATGTGTGTGCCTAGTGGCTCCATATTGGATAGCATGGATCTGGCACTTTCCAGGCCTAGACTTTGCCTGCCTGCAGACTGAAAGAAGCAAAGAGGTTCTGACCTGTTTGGAATCCCCTCTGGATGGATGGCAGGGGATGAGGGGGCCAAGACTCTGCCTGCTGCTCAGAGCAGGCCCCAGAGGCTCAGGCCTTTGCCTGCCACACTCACCCCCTTTCTGTGACTCGATCTCCTTCTTGGCCTGCTCCAGGATGCTCTTGATGGCGTCGTCAGAGCCTGTCTCTGGTGTGCGGATTCTCGGGGTGATACTGCCTGGGAGAGGCAAGGAGGCATTTGTCACGGGGACCTGCATGTTGGGGGTCAGTCCCTGGAGCTGGGAAGGTGAATGGCTGGGCCCCTCCTCCCAGGGCCAGGGCAAAGGCCAGGAGAGCACAGGCCAGACCATGAGTATGTGCAGTAGGACCACTGCTGAGCTAGTCTACGTGACACACTGTGGACCTTCAAGTGACTTAAATAATAATAGCAAAACAACAATGATCAGCCACCACCATAGCTAAAAGTTCTCACGCAGTTACTATGTGCTTTATACTCATTTCACCCCGTGGAGGCTAGTGGATGGGAAGCTGAGGCACAGAAAGCAAGTGAGCTGCCTGAGGCCACCCCGTGGGTGAAGGGCAGAGCTGAGACTCAAACTCAGGTGTTTGTGAGGTCAGAGCTTGGGCCCTTCAGATGGAGTAGCCTAAAAATTAAGCCTGGCAAGGTTAGTGATCACCCAGGCCATTTAATGGATGGGTAAACTGAGGCTTCAAGGTGCTTAGGGGGTAGCTGTCAGAACAGCCCCTGAGACCCAGCCTTTTCGCACCATTATCGAACTGTTCCATGAGGGCCAGTTGGGCACAGGCCTCAGGAAGGAGGGAGAGAGGATGCATTTCCTTATTTTACAGAGGAGGAAAGGAAGGCACAGAAAGGCAAAGTCACTTGCTACAGGTCACACAGCTGGAGGCGGCTGAGCCTGGCTCTGAATCCAGAACCCGTGTTCGCAGACCCTGCGGCCAGCACTCACCTCGCTGCCGCACCTGGATGGTCCTCAGAGCCAGCACGTTCTGCTCGTCCGACAGGAACTGCTTCATCTTAATGAAAGGCTCCTTGCCCTTCACCGTGAGCTTGCGCCAGGGCTTGGGCCGGGCCAGGATCTCACTGACCGAGCCTTGTGACAGCCCCAGCACGTAGTGGCCAAACACCCGCTGCCCAATGTTGTGCTTGAGCAGCTGCTCCTTCACTTGGAACGCAATCTCCGCCGTGTCCAGCTGCTCCTCCTCTGCTCCGGCACCTGCCCCAGCCGTACTGGCCCCGCCACCATCAGCCGGCTCCAGGCCCCCAGGCGGCTCAGGGCCAGGGGCTGGGGTGGCAGGGGCCGTGGGGGGCTTGGTACTGTAGAAGGTGGGGGGAAACACCAGCAGGCTGCCTGCCTCTCCCTTGAAGGCGGCCGGGGGCATCATGTGCTTAGACAGCAGCACGTCCCCTGCCAGTCTCTCCCCTGAAGCCAGGCTGGGGAAAGGGGACAGTGAGAAAGTTCGAGGGCCATCAGGGCCCAGGCTAGGGCCCAGCAGGGGCTGCCCGGGGCCTGGGGACAGGGGGTCTTCCGGCCCTGGTGGTGGCGGTGGTGGGAGCTGTGAAGGAGATGGGTAGGGCTGCTCTGTGCCCAGAGAGTCCTTGATGGAGTCGTCCTCCGAAGGGTCCTCCTCTAGAGAGAGACAGACAGAAGGAGAGAGGAGAGACAGACAAGAGAGTAAGACAGGGAAAGAAATAATGAGAGACATACACAGAGAAAGAGACACAAGAGAGATAGAAAAAAGAGAGACAGAGAGAAATTACATGAGAGAAATCATGCATATGAGAGACAGACAGACACAGAGGGAGACAGGCAGAGAGAGAGTGAAAGACAGATGGACAGAGAGAAAGAAGGAGACAAAGACAGACAGAAACATACATAGAGACAGAAATCCAGAGGCAGGGGAGAGAGGAAGTGGGGAGAAGAGGGGAGGAGGTAGAAGAGGGAAGGAGAGAAGTGCTATGGGCATCCAGTGTTGACACTGCTCTTTCTGCCAGCAACCTCTCCCCCATTCTCAAATCCCCATCCTTCAAGGCCTGGTCCAATTGCCTGCTCTGGGGAGCCCTCCCTCCTGCCACGAAGAACATTAACTGAGCACTTGTTATAGGCCCAGCACCGCCCCTGCGGTGGGGAGTTTGGATTAATCCCATCCTGCAGGAGTACCCACTTCCCAGGCACCCGCCTCATCCATGAAGTAGGCCCCATCACTGGCCCCATTTTTTAGGTTAGGAAATGGAGGCACAGAGTTTTGGCTGGGGCCGCACTGCTTAAAGGTTCTGGAGTCGCTGTGTCGGAGAAGGGGCAAGTGGCTGAGCAGGTGATTTGGGAGAGAGCAATGCCTGCTGCGGGGGTGCAATGTGAATGCCCGCCTTGTCCCGTGGCCTCATCCTACTGCTCATGAAGGCTCGGGGCTGCATGGAGCCTTTGGTGACCTTAGGAGGCCTGAGTGAGCTGTATGTCCTTGAGTATGTGTGTGAATGTGTGTGGACATCATGTGGGACAGCTGCCAACTGGCTTAGACATGGACGGTGCCCAGCTCAGTGCCAGGCACACAGCAGGTGCTCAATCACCGTGCACCCCTTTTCTCCATCACTCTCCTGCCTCAGTGGAAGGCAGTGGTCTGTGGGCATGGAGAAGGCCAGGGACCCATCACAGCCCCAACCCGGTCCCTTAGCCCCGAGAACATCCCCTCCCCTACCAGGGCTGGCCAAGAGACCTGGCTTTTCCAGCAGAAACTTCTGTGCAGGGAAGAACGCCTCCTTGGCCATGAGCAGCGAGTCCTCGGGCTTGGCCAGGCTCTGAGGAGATAAGAGGCCGGGCTGGGAGGGCGTGGTTGGTGGAAGGCTCTCACGGGCAGCTTGTCCCATGGGAAGAGTGGCGGGGACACTCACCTGGGGGAGGCTGCAGGTGCTGGAGGCCAGCTTCATGGCTTTCAGGATGCTGCCGGAGAAAGTGGAGAGTGTGAAGCAGCCGTGCTTCCCTGGCTTGGGGAGAGGCCTTGGGAGAGGCACTTCCACTGACCTATCTTCGCTGACTGAGAACAACTGCCCTCACCCCCTGGACCCGCACAACGCTGGCCTCATGGTAACAAGGCTTTAAGTAGGGGCTTGTGAACTGGTTCCAATGTTACCAGGAGGGGTGCTGTGCTAACCGACTCTCACACCGGCCCACTTGAGCTTATCTGATCAATGCATCATCCCCGTCTCCCCCCAGGCACACCACCAACAACATGGCTGCCTTGCATGTTCTCTGACAGGCAGCTCTTAATGGCAAAGGACTGCGCACGACACCCAAAGTACCAGTGGAGAGGAGACAAGGGCATCACAAAGTGGAGTGTGGTGGGAGGGAGGAAGGTAACGGATTCTGCCAAGGGCCCTGGCCATCTGCCCAGGTGGCCCCGGCCAGGGAAGAGGACTGGGGTCTATGGAGCCCCACTACACAGTACCTCAGCTCTGTTTTAATTTCTTCATAGTCAGACTGTGCCTGGAGCTTCTCTTCCAGCTTCTAGAGGAGCAAACAAAGACAATGAGGCTGGGCTGTCCTTCTGTCTGGGAATGTCCCACCCATCTCCCATCTGCCCACCTGCTCCCCAAAGACCTACCTCGATGGCCTCGGACTTGGCTGTGAGCTGCCGTTCCAGGTCGGCAATCTGGTTGGCGGAGGCTTCCTCCAGCTCCTGCAGAGAGTTCTGGAGGTGCTGCACATCCTTCAGCAGCCGCAGGATCTCCCGATCCTTGGAGGCCAGGGCAGCCTCGAGCCGCGGGCCCGAGCACAGTGTGAAGTTCACCTTATCCTGAGGACAAAGGGGGTTTTTGAGGGGCTGCAGGGCTGGCCTCCCCACCCGAGTCCCAAACAAAATGGGAGATCCATCTGTGGTATGGTCTTAGTGCTGAGCCCCACAGAGCAGTCAGCCCATTTGACAGGCCCATGGCTTTTCTCTTTCCGTCTCCGAGCCTTGTCCAGGCTGGACCTACCAGCCTGGAAGCCTTTCCCTCTATTCTTGAAACTAAACAGGTGGGAGGGGAAGTGAGCAGGAAAGGTTTTCTGGAGGAAGATGTGTCTAAACCGTGATGAAGTTCAAGAACACGTTAGAGATTTAGAAGATTGCTTGGCAGCATCCACTGAAGGGGAACATATGTGCTTCCACTCATTGGCATATATGCAGGAGAAACGCAGGCCCCTCTGCACCAGACCCGGACACCAGGACACATGTTCACAGCAGCCCTCTCGGTAATAGCCCCGAACTGGAAACCCTCCAAATGCCTACCAACAAGAGAATGTGGATAGACTATGGTATATTCCACAATGGAATACTATACAGGAATTAAAAAGAATAATCTACAACTACTCCAACAACTCTCTCTGATATAATATGGAGTGAAGAGACCAGACACCAAGGTGTGTGTGTTATTCAATTAAGATCAGATACAAACACAGTTTCTGGGGGGCTGGGAATGTTCTTCTTGATCTAGATGCTGGTTATGGGGTGTGTTCATTCTGAAAAATTCAATGTGCTGTACACTTATGATATGCACATTTTCCCTTATGTATATTACTAGAGACCTGGTGCACGAAATTTGTGCTCTGGAGGGGGAAGGAGTAGTTCCCTCAGCCTGTGCCCTCATGCAGTCCGGGACCCCTTGAGGAATGTCCGCCTGCCAGCAGTCAGACATCCCTCTCGCAGTCCGGGGCTCTCGCAGTCCGGGACCCCTCGCTCCTTACCGCCCACCTGCAGTGGAGGCAGGAGAGGCTCCCACCACTGCTGCTGCGCATGCCAGCCATAAGCCCGGCTTCTGGCTGAGTGGCGCTCCCCCTGTGGGAGCGCACTGACCACCAGGGGGCAGCTCCTACGTTGAGCATCTGCCCCCTGGTGGTCAATGCACATCATAGCAACCGGTTGTTCCGCCATTTGGTCGATTTGCATATTAGGGTTTTATTACATAGGATACTTAAATAAAACATTTGCTAAAACCATGATTCAGCAAAAATCAAAATCATGACTCAGTAGAGTCAATACCATGATTCAGCAAAAATAACAAGCACGGCCCAGCAAAAATGAAAACCATGATCCAACAAATACCTGCTAGCATGACTCAGCAAAAATTCGCTAGCGTGACTCAGTAAAAAATCCAGTACCATAACTCAGCAAAAATCTCCAGCACAACTCCACAAATACCGCCAGCATGGCTTGGCAACAATCCACCAGCATGACTGAGCAAAAAACCCCCCCAACATGTAAAAACAGCATGACTCAGCCAAACTAGCTATTATGACTCAGCAAAAGGTTAATAGGGTCAGGATCAGGGGTGAGAGCTAGGGCTAGGAACTGGGGTTAGAGTTAAGGATTAGGGTTGGGGTTGGGGTCAGGGTTAGAGTGTCAGGGTTAGAATGTCAGGGTCAGGATCAGGACCAGGGTCAGGGTGAGGAAGTGTGGGGATAGGGTGTTACCAGCAGAGGGAACAGCATAGACAAAGGTTTGGGTTTCTAAAATGGGTGCAGGATGTCTCCATTCCAGGCAGTAAGAGACCCATAGGGTTAGACGTGAGACCTTGTAGCCACAGGTCACATTAGGGGTGGTTCCTTCCTTTTCCTAATTTGCCACCAGCCCCAAGTCCCACTGCTTCTCTAGGTTTTAGGAAATGGTCCCTTTGTCCTGGATGAAGACAAAGAGGTTGCTGTTTGAGGGAAACTGAAGTCAGGCTGATTTTGAGTTCAGTTACAAATGAATCTAAGAAGCTTTACAAAAACAAATCAACACAAAACAAAAACCCATCACTGCCAACCCTGGGTATTCTTCCATGGAGATAAGTGACAATTAAAACAGGAAGCGGATGCCATTAACACATTAAATTAATTAGCATCGAGTGCCACTGTTCTGCTCAGAAAAGCTCACCCCCAAACTAGCCAAGATCCCAGTGGCTGATTAGCACAGGCATTTGCTGGGTTCCACCGGGGTTAATTAAGAACCATCAGCAAATTATCTCTTAGACATCCTCATGAGCAGACATCCAGGCACAGTGACACATACACACCGCCTCCTGGGACACAGACACCGGTGGACACACTGATAGCCACAACACACACTGATACACACAGAGAAATACACAGGTGTCAAGGAGACACACTCATGTGGACATCACCAGACACACAGAGACATGTATATGCTCAAAAAGACCATTGCTCTTGTGGGCAAAAACCCAGACACACCAAAACCATATTAATAATAATAATAGTAGCATCAAATATTTACTGAGCATAGATTGAGCCAAGTCCCATTTTAGGCATTTTACATGTAATCCTTTTAACAGTCCTATAATGTAGATCTTACTTGTACAGATGAAGAAACTGAGGCACAGTTAAGAGTAAAGATGCAGTCATTTTCCAAAGGTCACAAACAGATGCACATTCCAATATTCAAACAGAAACAGACACAGGCCAGTGCATCAGGGTGGCAGGTAAGGTTAAAATTATGCTGGTCACTTCAGGTTCATGGGTGGAGACAATAAATTACCCTGGGGTAGACCTGTTATTATGTAAGGAACCGTGAATCTAATGCCTTGTCTGCAGAGATCTGGAAGTAGGCGGACCAATTTACATGAGGAACTCAAGGCTTTCTGAGAGAACAGAGATGGAGACTTCTAAAATATGACACAAGGATAGGTTGGGGTGGTTCTGACTAAAATCCTTTGGCAGGAAATGATCCTAGGACCCAAAGGGACACCAACCAGGGGGAAAGAGAAAGATGCACCGTAAAACCAGGCTTAATACAGAGACCTCACGCCCTAGCCGGTTTGGCTCAGTGGATACAGCGTCTGTCTGCGGAGTGAAGGGTCCCGGGTTAGATCCTGGTCAAGGGCATGTGCCTGGGTGTGGTCTTGATCCCTAGTGGGGGGCATGCAGGAGGCAGCTGATCAATGATTCTCTCTCATCATTGATGTTCCTATCTCTCTCCCTCTCCTTTCCTCTCTGAAATCAATAAAAATATAGTTAAAAAAATACAGAGACCTCAGGGTTAATGACAGAAGATTGGCTCTTCATAGCATGTGGCGTTAAAATTCATGTTTTGGGCGCGAATGGCTAAATATGCGCATTAACATCAGATCTTGGTATGTATTTTTGTCTGGGTCTGGAAGGATACAGAGAACCAGCAGGGTGTAGTCCCAAGCCTTCACCAAGCAGTGTGAGACCAGTGGTCAACAGCGACACCTGGTGACATCCACCAAAACTGTACTGCTGCTCCAGTGATCATACCTTCCCACCCCTTGCCCTCTTGCCAGGCAGACATTTGGCAATAGGAACGACCCTCTTTGGTCTGAGTAGGTTTCTGGCATTTTTGGACAATTGGGCATGAGGGGACTTCCAGTTAATCAGGATATATGGAAGCTTGAGCTTGAAAAGTTAAGAGCTGGGCTGTATTTTTACCCTTAACTGTTGAAGCAAGTGACCTTGGCAATTAAGATGCTACTCCCACTGTAAGTATCAGAAACCCACACACCCATGTGCACAATTTCGCATAGATGCACACAAACAACCCACGTATTCATACCCACAAACATGGCCTTTCCCAACCTTTCCCTCTGGCTCTCCCACCATCCTTACCCCACTGGGATTCTGCGGGGAGCAGCAGGCCAGGCGGATGGAGCTGTTGACAGAGGCAAGTTGTTCCCGAAGACTTTCCACCTCCCGCTGGGCAGCCTCAGCTCTCTGAGGAGGAGAATGGGACAAGTGTGGTTAAGAAGTGAATGGGACCACAATGGATGTCACCCTGGCCCTTCACCTTCTCCCTCCACCGTCTTAGGCATGGGCTGGGCAGGCAGGGTTGAGGGCTGAGGGTCCTACTTTTTGGGTCTTGAACCCTTGACTTGGCTTTTGATTCCCCCAGGGTTCTTGAGATTCCAAGAGGAGTCAGAACATTCCCAATCCACAAGGGCAGGAGGGAGATGCTGTCTTGATGGGATGGGCAACTTTTTACACACTTGAGGCCACTCTGTATCCCAAGTAAACTTCAGGCCTGTCTGGTCAGAAGGCAAGTTTGTCCCCAGCTCCCCGACCACCTGGTGTGGAATCCTGGATGGGGCATCTGCTGAGGTGGCTTCCCAGCTCACAAGCTACTGAAGGCCCTTGGGCAAGGCACTTCCCCTCCCTGGGTCTCAGCTTTCCTTTTGTGAAATGGGGAAAATGAAACACATCTACTGCAGAGACATAATGAAATACTTCTAAATCAGAAAGAGGCGGTTTACTGAATTGGGTCTTCAAACATTTCTGAGAAAAAAAGCCTGGGAGGAAGCATCTAAATGTTAACAACACAGCCTTGTGGCTTTGGAGAGAAATCTGTACGTTGTCACTTCCTGGGTGTGTGTGACCTTGGGTAAGAGATTTCATCTCCCCAACTTCAGTTTCCCTATCTACAAAATGGGGATTATAAAAGCAACTACCTTCTAGAGTTGTTTTTTATTGAGTGATTTGGAAAAACACAACTCATTAGGCATTTTAGCTTGGTGCCTGACACATGTAAGTGGGTCAATAACTGGTTAACTTTATTAACATCAACAGGGTATGTGGAATCTTGAGCCATTATTTAAAAAATTAGAACAGCTGCAGCTTTTTTTTTACCCTCAGCTGGTGACACAGGGCATAGTGATTATGTTTAACTTACGCACTGACCTTGACAATCACGATGCTATGCCCACTATGTACACACAGAGATCCACACACCTCCATTGGCACATTCTGTTTGATTATTTATTTATTTAAATATGTTTTTATTGATTTCAGAGAGGAAGGAGAGGGAAAGATTGAAACATCAATGATGAGAGAGAATCATGGATCGGCTGCCTCCTGCATGCCCCTACTGGGGATTGAGCCAGCAACCCGGGCATGTGCCCTTGACCAGAATCAAACCCAGGACCCTTCAGTCTGCAGGCCAATGCTCTATCCACTGAACCCAACCAGCTAGGGCAAATTCTATTTTTTAATGGATTTTTTAATTTATTGTATCCTGCCTTATTCCAGAAAAGGTTCAAGTCAGTTACGTTTTGGGTGTGTGGAGTTGTAGAGAAAATATTCTTGTTACTGAAGCTTGGGATCTGGGCTAAAAGACAGGCCTTGGAAGACAATTTATGACAGACGAGCTGGTGAGAATGCCAGAGATATTTGCCCTGAGGGCCTGTGTTTACATTTCGAGGGGGATGAGCCCCAGACTGTGGAGACATCCCCTGGGCTATAAAGCTGGGTTTAACACTACCAGTCTTATCTGCCCCTGGAGAGAAGCATTTGCATTCCACATGCTAAACCCCGGACCCCTGCCCTTCTGTTCACCGTGACACTCAGGAGATAATTTATCTCCCTCCCTCAGAAGGCCCCTCTCTCAGAACTACCCAGATTCCTATTTTGGGGGGCTGGAGGGGCTAACGTTCAGTACAAACTCTGGTGCATTTAGGGTGCCAGCTGGTTTTCGCCTCATCACCCCAGGTAAGAATTCGGGCAAACTGGCATGGTTATTGCTATGTCAGTAACAGCATAGATCTGCTCTGCTCCAGAATCCGCTTGTTCACATTTAGTATATTAAAAACCTAATATGATGACATTTATTTTCTTCTCCATACTTTCTATAATGAGCTGGTTTTAGTTTATACTCAGAAAAAATAAACATGAAAAATGCTTTCTATTTAAACTAAGATCCCTTTTCTTTAGCCTAGTAACTAGTGGTCGACAAACTCATTAGTCAACAGAGCCAAATATCAACAGTACAATGATTGAAATTTCTTTTGAGAGCCAAATTTTTTAAACTTAAACTATATAGGTAGGTACATTGTTATTTACTTAATTAGGGTACTCCTAAGGCTTAGGAAGAGCCACACTCAAGGGGCCAAAGAGCCGCATGTGGCTCGTGAGCCGCAGTTTGCCGACCACGGGCCTAGTTGAATGGCAAAGATCTTTGAGTCTGATAACAGGTGGTACTGGCGAGGCGGGGACACAGGCCCATTCCTACCTTGCTGGATGGAGTGTAAATTGGCCCAACCCCATGGAGGGCAGTTTGGCCACATCTGCCAAATTATAAGTGCACCGATCCTTTCCCCAGCAATCCCACTTCTGGGAATTTACAGATAGAGTGCTGGAGGAGACCCCAGGTGGGAGAGAGGGAGAGAAGCAGACCCAGGCTTGTGCCTCATCACCAACCCTGGCTCCTCACTCAGTCTTGGCTGGGAGAGACCCATGTCCCTACTTGGCCTGGAGATGGGCACTTGCGGGCTGGGATCACTGGCCAATGCTCTGCTTCCCTCCTCCCCGTGCTGTGCAAAGACACCTAGAAAGGCCTCCTGCCTGCTGTGCAGGCTGCCTCCCAGCTTTTGCCCAGGCCGTTCCCTGTCCTGGAATGCCATCCTTTTACAGTCTGGACTGATTTATCGGGACTCAGCTCCATGGTCCTTCCTCCAGGATGTCTTCCCTGACTCCTGAATCTGGGTCAAATGCCCCTTCTCTGGCTGCTGCTATCTGGACCGTCCTATTTTTGAGTATTCTGTCTGCACCCTCACTCTCCTTCCTCCAGGAGCTCAGGGCCTGGGTCCCAGACGTCTCCCAGCCTCAGCACTCTGTATGGCACATAGTTCAATAAATACAGATTGAGCATAGCCCTTCCTCCCAGACTGGCCCGAGACCCCCACCACGTGCAAAATGAGTCCCCCAGCACAGGTTTCCTCACCTGATTAGCTTTCTCCAGGTTGGTCATGATCAGGCTGACTTCATCTGCCCTGAGACAGAAAGATGAGGCCCTGAGGAAGGGACTCTGGCCACCACCAGGCCCCCTACCCATCCTGATACCCCCCAGCCCCTGCCTGAACCCAAGGGTTTCAAAACTGAGGGCCAAGGAGGCTGACTTCCACCCCTCTTACTGGAGAAACTAGGCTGGACGGAAAAGAACCCAGGCTGCGGGGAAATGGAAATGGGCCTCAGGACTGCAGCCTGGCCTCTCACCTCCCCAGGGTCCACTCTCTGAAGCTGTCGCAGAGCTGCACCTCCCAGCTTTTGCTCCTACTGTGCCTTCTGCCTGGAATGCCTTCCTCAAGAGAACCAGGTCCAAAGAGTCGTCCTAGGTACCCTCTCTACTCCCCCATGGTGGCCATTTATTTACTCTGCTGCCCTCCTCCCTTCAGTACCTAGGGGGTCCGAACAGGCCTCTTCCACCTTGGCTGCCCCTCTTCCTGGTGTGGGGTGGGGGCCAAAGGAGGCCTGTGGGGAGCATTTGATGACTATAAGCCACGCATGTGCTCCATGCATGTTCAGGGCACTCTCTGCACAAGCTTTTCCAATTGCTCAGAGCACACTCCCCAGCGTTCTTCACGTGGCCATCTCCTGCTCATATTCCAGGCCTCACACTGAAAGTCACCTCCTCAGGGAACCCACCGCTCCCTGTTATTCCCTCTTGTGGTTCCTGTTCTTCCCTTGACAGCATTTACCATGTGCCCAGAACAGTATTGGGCACACAGGAAATGCTCAGGAGTGTCTGTGAATGAATGAATTTATCACTGCACATTAGTCAGTGTCTGCCAGGGCTATGTCTAACGTTTCCTCCAGGGTCTCAGCATAGTCCTGGGGAAATAGTAAGCACTAAATAAGTGTTTGTGAAATCAGCAATGTCTTAAATCCTGAAGAAACACTGAGTACAGAGTAATTTAAGTGAATGACACTTGGCCCTGAGGGCTGGACTGTGGAGTTGAGGAGTGGGACAGCCCCAGGAGGCTGGGGTAAGGCGCAGGTCCCTGCCCAGTAGACCCAGAATGCCATTTATAGTCTGTTGTGCATAAATGGCACAGCAATGACCATTGAATATGGCTGTGTGCCTCTGTGGGGCGGGGAGCAGAGGGTGTTTAATAAAATGGGTACCTCATATAGAATCAGAAAGAGAAGGCATATCTGGGAGGGTCAGAGGGAGGAGGCATACCTCAGCAGGGTGTTCACTTACTTGGATGCCGCCTCCTCATCATATTTCCGCCGCAGCTCCAGCAGCTCTGTCTGCGTGGCCTTCAACGCTGGGAAAAAGTAAAGAGCCAGGGTGAGGCTGCCCACCCCCAGGGAGGTGGAACCTACTCCTGCAGGGCCTGGAAGGCAGAATGAGGTCTAGGCTAGTGAGGAAAGACCTTTCTTGTGGTTAGAACTGGTGACAGGTTCTAGAGGGGCTTCAAGCTGGTGAGAGGCATGTGGAGTGGCTGGGGTGGGGAGGGGGGCTGGCTGTCCCAAGGCCTGGGGTATGAGCCTTCTAGCACCATTAGGTCACCAGGGTAGGATGATCTACCCATAGCTCATCCACCCTGAGATCCAGACCTGGCAAGTAAGGGGGACAGTGAGGAGTAACAAAATCAACAGATATAAGTATATGATAATAAATGAGGGATTTCTCATAAAATTCCAGATTTCTGATTTTTTCTAGGAAAATTGAAGGGATTGGCCACACTAGGCCATAAGGCAGTGCCTGGCTGGTGCTCTTTTTTTTTTGGCTGGTGCTCTTTAGATAAAGCTGCTTTCTCCAGTTTACCCCAGATCCCACCCCACCCTACTGTCTTCTCTAACCTGACTGGCTTAGTTGTGTGCTAGGACACAGAAGGCCTTCAATTTGCTACCCCTATTTTAATTCTAGCTCCAACCTTCTCTCCACAGTAGTATGGCCTCCAGGGACTGGGGGCTCAGTCCCCCGCTGGGTAATGTAAATTTCTCTCCTTCCCCTTCCCAAACTCCCTTCTTACCCTCTTGATTCTGAAACACCTGGGCCTATGTTCATAGTGTCAGTGCCTTTCTTCCTCCTCCTGGTCTGATAGGGCCAGGGTGCTGTGTGAGGGCCAGGGCCATGTGCCACATACATACCTGAATGTAGGACCTTGATCTTTTCCTCTGCCTCCCCCAGTCTGGCTGCCAAAGTGATTTGTACTTCTTGAAGGCCCCTGTGGAGAGACCGGGCCTGCTCATGCCAGCTCTGCTCATTGAATGGGCCTTGCCTGAGCCCCACCCGTTTCCTATCCCCTTGCCCATTCCCTGTACTCTTCACCTCTATCTTAAACACAACACATGTCCTTAAACTTGACATTTAGGCATCTAGCTGCCCCACTGTTTTGCTGGTATGTGGCCCCCATAATGGTTGGGCCAGTTAAGTTTCTGGCAGCATTTTGGGAAGGGGGCTTATGGCAGCCAGCAACTTCTCTCTGGGCCTCAATTTCCTGGTCTATAAAGTGGGGTTTCTGATGGGGTCTGCTTCAGTGGGTATTGTAAGCATGCTTAGTGTGTTCCTCAATACCGTCAGCTACTATTACTGCCCCGGAGGCATTTCCCCCCTCCCTTTGGCAGAAGCTTGGGATGTCCATCCAGCCCATTGGGGCCCAGTTCCGGAGTAATGCAAGTATCGCAGTAAAGAGAGGCCCTACCTGGACTAGTGAAGGGTTTAGGCAAAGCCTGGGCCTTACAGTATCAGATTCAGAGACTCTAGGGAAGAAGCCCCCTTTACCTCTGATCTCACCTCCCCCTCCTTCACTCCACTCCAGCCACATTCATCTCCTTGCTGTTTCAGTACACCAGCCTCAGACCCTTTGCACTGGCTGTTCCCTCTGCTTGTGACACCCTTCCCCTAGATACCTGCAGGGCTCACTCCCTTGCCTCCTTAGGACTTTGCTCACCTTCTCATTGAGGCCTCCACCAACATTCTATTTAAAACTTCAGCCCTCCATCTCATCCTCTTCCTCCCTGCTTTACTTCTCCTCAAACCCTTATCATCATCTAACATATCGCTTATTTTACTTATCTTATTCATTTGTGTGTTCCTCACTAGGAAGTAAACTCTAGGAGGGCAGAGAGTTTTGTACCTTTTATTCACTGCTGTGTCTCTAAAATAGTGACCAGTACACAGTAGGTGGCTCTATAAATATTACTGCTGCACCACTGTCAAGGCACCATTTACTGACACACACTCCTCTGTGTGAGTGCCACGCTAACGAGAATGCACAGGAGTCACCTTGTTTCATTCCATGGCAGACTAGGAATTGATATCACGTGTGATGGTTATGTTAAGTGTCCACATGGTTAAGCTATAGTATCCATTTATCCCAACACACACTCATTTAGGTGTTTCTGTGAAGTATTTTGTAGATGTGGTTAACATCTACAATTAGCTGACATTAGTAAAGGAGAATATTATCACTAATGTAGGTGGGCCTGATCTAACTAGTTGAAGGTCTTAAAATAAAACCAAGGAAGAAGTTCTGCCTCAAGACTGCAACACTGACTACTGCCTGACAGTTCCTAGCCTGCTGGCAGGTCTACCAACTCGGATTTGCCAGCCCCAATTGTGTGATTTAAGTCCTTGAAATACATCTTAACTAAAAAAAAATTAACTAAAAAAAAATCCTACTGGTTCTGTTTCTTTGGAGCTGGCTAATAAACCACCATTAGCTCCATTTTCCAGATGGGGAAACTGAAGCTCAGAGAGGTGAGGTGACCTGCCCAGGGTGGCCACTGAACTACTGAGATGGAGCTCAAACCCAGGCCTATGTCTTCACCTCCAACTTGCATCTGGATTCCCCAGCTGTCCTGGGCAGGGGTGACTTTCCTGGTCCCACCTCCCAGCCAGGTGGGGCAACAGGAGCCCGCCTGTCCCTCCCCCACTCACTTTTGTTTCTCCACCTCATTTCTCTGTAGCAAAGTTTCTGTCAGGAGGGCTTTGCTGGGAATGCCTGGGAGGCGGCTCCCCTCGGTCAGCGTGGGCCCAGCTGGGGACGACCCCTCTCTCTGCTCTGGAGGAAGAAAAAGAAGGAAAAGTGCCCATTGCTGAGAGCAGCGTGACAACCAGAGCCACTTTCTGCAAATCAGATCAATCAAAAGTTGTGAGAAGAATCAATTTCCCAAACTTAGTGTTGGAGAGAGCGCAGCTGTTGGGACCTGCTGTCACCGAGGTCAGCTGGGCTGCAGCCAGCAAGTGTGCGCGTACGTAAGTCAAGCTCCCATCATGCCAACCTCATACAGCACACCCGAGGCTTCCTTTGCCCTCTCAGACTTGTCTCTGCCTCTCTGGCCTTCCTATTTTTCTTTAAAGTCATGGTAAAATATACATAACATAAAATTCACCATTTTAAAGTGTACAATTCAGTGATATTTAGTGTATTCACAATATTGTACAACCATTACCACCAATTCCTTAACCCTGTCACCGCCACAAAAGGACACCTGTCCCCATTAAACAGTCACTCCCATTCCCATCTCCCCCAGTCCCTGGCAATCACCAGCCCTGCTTTCTGTATCTATGGATTTAGGTATTATGGATATTTCATATAAACAGAATGATAATATATATCCTTTTGTGCCTGGCTTCTTTCACTATCATAACGTTTTCAAGGTTGTAGCATGTAGCAGACCTTCATGCCTTTCTATGGCTGAGTAATATTCCATTTTTTGGATATGCCACGTTTTGTTTTTCCATTCATCAGTTGGTGGACATTTGGGTTGTTTCCATTTGGCCATTGTGAATGGTGCTGCTGATAAATATTGATGTACACGCTTTTAATTCTTTGGGGTAGGAGTGGAATTGCTCTGTCACAGGGTAACTCTAGGTTTAACTTACTGAGGAACCTCCACACTGCTCTCCCCTCCCCACAGTGGATGGCACACACTCAGATGCTCAGTCATCACCTGGCTCACTGCAGGTGCCTGGGCAGCTCATCCCAGGGATTAGCGCCTGCCTTTGGAGCTGAATTTGTTATGGAGGGACAGTTTGGCTGCCAAAGATCCACAGACAAGTTGTTTGCAATGGACATCCTGTGAAGGCCTGATCAGTACCTTTAGGGCTGAGAAGCTCGGGGTTTCTCTTCCACGAAGCGTGGAGGTCTCGCAGCGGATGCCCGCTGGGGTTGAAGCTGGGGGGCTGCAGTCTGTCGTCTAGGCTGCGCGTTGGCTCAAATACAGGTACAGGGTCTGCAGAGAGAGGAGAACAGGGATGGTGGGGGGTTCTGAAGGCTGGGGGATACCCAGGCTGAAGCCATGGGACCTGGCAGGTCCTTCCATGTGGAGCTGAGGTAGGGGGACAATCCACAAGAGCTGCCTGGAGTTGCTCTGATGGTCTAGGGGAGCAAAGTGGATTTTCTGCTTTATGAGGAAGGTCTTTTCCAGGCACTGGCTCAGGGGAATGCATGTTGTCCCCATAGATGTGGGTGTCCTGAATAGCTGGGAATGCTAATAACAAGAATTGTCACCATAATTGCATTTTCCAAATTCTACGATGCCATCTATGGTGGCCATGAGACTGTGCCTTGCATGCTTCCAACCACAGGAACTGTCACTGAGCAAGGACCTTGCTCTGAAATCCATCAGTCTGAGGCCAACCTCTCCAGACAAGGCTTGAAGGCAGCGAAGATAGAGATGGACCTGCTTCCGGGGACATGGGACTACTCCGAGGGCACAGGGCACTCCCAAGGCCTTGCCCAGCACTCCCTTAGGCTGTATGTGGTCTGGATGCTTCCACCAGTTCTCCCAGCTCCCCCCTATTTTCCTTCACCTGCATTTCACTAATAGCAGCCTTGCACATAGAATCTTTGGGGTGCTTCTCAGTGGACTAATATACCATCATTTTTGACACATAGGACGATTAAATAATGGCTTTTCTGGAAATGCACACCTGGATGTTAGAGGCCTCCTTAATTCCCAATAACTAAAAAGTGAGGAATGTGCAGGTGCATCTGCCTGGAATTCTGTTCCCTCTCCCACTGTCACCTAGCGAACACTTCCTTTGTTCAGATCTAGAATCCAGCACCTTTTCTTCCAGGTGGCTTTGCTCAGTTCCCCACCCAGGCAGGTACTAAGAATACCTGGATAATGCCAGGGATTGGTGTGGCATCTTCCAGGTCACCAAGCCTGTCCATGGGAACAGGCTCCATGATGCTCCCAGCATCCCCTGGAGGCTGGCTAGGATCCGCCTCATTTCCACAGATGAGAAAACGGAGACTCAGAGAAGCCAGGTAAGCCGCTAAGGAGTGGAGGTGAGATTTGAATTGGGTTTCTTTCTCTGATGCTTCCTGTCCCAGTGGTGTGGGCATTTCAACCCCAGCAGCCACAGGTGAGTGTTCATGCGGGCCCAGGAAAGCCAGGGCCTCCTCACTCCAGATCAAGGGTCCTGGGACTGGTCCACAGTCCTTTTAAAAGCACCGGAGCCCTCAGTCTTTCTCATCTTTCCACCGGGGTCTCCTGCCAGCATCTGCTTGGCCACTGTTCTCTGCTAGGGGGCAGAAGGATTAAGAGTATGAACCCTGGAGACAGATCCCGGGGTTCTGGTCTAATCCATACTTGCTTCTCAGGATTGCTGTGTGACCTTGGCAAAAGACTATAACTCTCTGTGCCTCACCATAGAAGTGCCCACTTCATGGGGCTGTGCAGAAGATCCATGCAAAGTGCGCAGCATGGCGCCTGGCACTTGCTCAGCTCAGAACAAATGGAAGCCCTGGCTTTTCCTGCCTTTCTGAGCTCCAGTTGCACTGCCCTTCTTCCCTCAGCCCCTCAAATGCACCTTCCCCACCTGAGCCTTTTATAGGCAGGAGCCTCTGGCAGGAACACCCTGCCCTCCCTTACCCCTTTCAGCTAGTTAATGCTGACTCGTCTTTGCACCTCAAATGTCACTTTTTCCAGGAAGCCTTTCTTGACCAACCAGTCCTCTGATATGAGGTCCTCCAGTTGCCTGCACCTTTCCTTCACAGCATTCATTGTACTTATAATTTTTAGTGATTTGCAAGTCCACCTAACTCAGGGGTGGGCAAACTTTGGCCACAATGGGTTCTTAAGCTGGACCGGAGGCCCAAACAAAAGCATGGATGTTTGTGTGAACTAATATAAATTCAAAGTAAACATCATTACATAAAAGGGTATGGTCTTTTTTTTTTTTTTTTTTTTAGTTTTATTCATTTCAAATGGGCCGGATCCGGTCCGCGGGCCGTAGTTTGCCCACGGCTGACCTAACTAATGCACACTAAACTGAAACTCCACCATAAGGCAGGCACAGGACAACAACTATTTTTGCTCCTTTGCTGGACCCCTTGTGGATGGACGGACAGCTCGACCCAAATAAATATTTGCTGATGGAAGAAATGGGGTAGTGCCTATACCCGGGGCCTTCAGGTCTGGCTGGAACAAGGTTCCTTTCCTCCCGCCTGTTTGTTTAGGTGGTGGGAGGCTCGGACAATGGGTGTTTGTGCCGAGGTAGGCAGGTGTGCGGGAAGGCCGCTGTCTTTCCTCTGTCAGCACTCCCTCCACACCCGTCATTAGGCAGGGCCTGCTCAGCGGGGTATGCCATTATGTCTCCCCGGGCTGATGTAATTATACATTGACATAATTAACCCAGCGAGCGCATTAGGCAGGCCAGCTAAAAATTCATCTATAATTATTTGTTGTGTGCATGCTAATGAGTTCATCTGCACTGCCTTTGTACAACACGGACAAATTAATTTACAAGTCTGGATTTTTTAATAAGTTCAAGAAAACGCTTCCTATTGTGTCCTGGTTTTTGAGAAAGGGGGAAAAGGCAACAGGCACTTGCCAGGGTCGGGGAAGTTAGATAAACACTGGAGGGTGCTGCTCCAAGAGGCCATGGAGGAGGGCTTACTCTGGTTCCAAGGAGGTGGAAAAGATCCAGCTGATGGCTTGAGCACCGGCTGCCATGAGCCCATCCAAGCCAAAAGCTTACACTCAGGTGATAAAATGTCACTGACCCCCTTCCGAGAGTCAGGGATTGACGTTTTGTTTCGCTCAGAGGCCCTGCAGGTCCAGGGTGCTGCCTTGTGCGCTCTGTCCAGGGGAAGCTGAGCTCAGGTGGCCCCTGGAGAGGCTGGAGGAGGGGGTTGCGGAGATACTCATACAGGTTCAGCAGGTTCCAGGCTCTGTCTTTCCCCCTCATTCACTGTTAACAGGGTAGAACATGGTGGGTAAGCTCACAGAATCTGAAGTCCAATTTTGGGTCCAAATCTCTTGGGGCCTTGAGCCTCAGTTTCCTCACTTATAAAGTGAGAAAAACGTAACAGTGCCTACTTCCCAGAAACTATTATTGGAAGATTAAAACAGATGAGAGAGGCAGTATGATTTAAGGACCTTTGGACAGTTAGAACCTTCACTTTCTCACCTGTAAAATGGGGCAGCACATGTAAAGCGTGGTTGTGAAGACTGGGCGAGAGAACATGTATAGAGATTGCACAGTGCGAGGTGTAGCAGGGATTGCTAAGTGTTGACTGCTGAGAGGAGGCAGTGCTCCTGGTCTCGTGGTGCCCTGGGGGCTGGCTGTCTGCATTGTGACCTCTGTGAAACCTTGGGACAGGAATAGCCTCATATATCTCAGCAGTCCGTGGGAGATCCAGAATCCAACAGTTCTCCTTTGAATGTCACTTTGGGACCCAAAGACTCCAGCTTAGAAAGTCACACTGTGGAGGGACCTATCAGGTTAATTTGTGTAACACCCCTCACTCCAGGACACAGATGGGGAAAAGTGGGGTCCAGTGACTTCCCAGAAGTCTGCCAGCACATTGGTAGCTGGGCCGAAATGGCCTTGGGCCTCTTCTTCCCATTATACTGCCTCCTGGCTCCCCAATTTGAAGGAGAGTTGGGGAGGGGTTCAGATGACTCAGCCAATGTCAGGCTATGATGAATCCTAACAACCAAAGTATTTGAACATTTTAGAATTCATTCAATCTTCACTACAACACTGTGAGGTAGGTATTGTTGCATTCCTATTTTACAGATAGGGAAACTGAGGCACAGGGAGTGTGTGAAGGTAAAGCCTGGTATGGTAGATACTGCCATCTCCATTTCCCAGACAAGGAAATGAAGGCCCAGAGAAGAGGTGCCATGTGCCCAAGGTCACCTTGCTCAGAAGTGGCAGAGGTGGGATTTGAACCCAGGTAACTCTGCTGTGGGCCAAGCTGCCTTGAGGTAGGACATGGGGGATTTCTTACTATTGGGTCAGGAGCACAAGACTGAGGGCTCTGTTCTTGGTCTTGCTGCTGGCTTGCTGTGTTACCTTGGACAAAGCACCAGACCTCTCTGGGCTCTGGACTCAAATTCCTATTTTAAGTATATCCTGGGCACACAATCAACATTGGATGTCATCAGATAGGGGTGGAGTCCTGCTGAAATGAGTGCTTTGGCCCTGGGCCTACTCCTCAGAGCTGGGATGCTCAGGGAGGGTGATTATTAAACGCCTTCAAGCTGAACTTCTGTTGTTTTAAACCACCCAGTTTGTGGTAATTTGGTATGGCAGCCCCAGAAAACCCATACACTGTGCTCTGGAAGCTAGATGTACAAAGTCAAGGTATGGGCAGAGCCATGCTCCCTCCCAGCTTCTGGTGTTGCTGGCATCCTTGGCTTGTAGCGGCATCCCTTCAGTCTCTGCCTCCATTGTCACATGGCTTTCTCCTCTGTGTGTGTCTCTCTCTCCTTCTTATAAGGACACCAGTCATACTGGATTAGGGTTCACTCTAATGACCTCCTTTTAACTTGATTACAGTTGCAAAGACCCTATTTTCAAATAAGGTCACATTCTCAGGTACCCAGGGGGACACAGTTCAACCCATAACATGTGGTAACTGATTGGGTACAAACTGTGAGAAAGGCCCACTCCTCTCCTGCTGCATCCATTTCACCTGTTGTTCAGGGAGACAAGCTTGTTCTATACGAGAAAGCAGCAGGTTCTGGGCTCTGATCCACCTGCATTTTCATTCTCTCCAGCTACTGAGGAATTAGGCTGTGGGCTGAGTAGGGTCCCTGCTCTGAAAAGTACACAGCAACGATGATACTCATTTCCCTGGGCATTTTTACTCGTTATTTCCTCCCCAGCACAGTGGAAGTCCCAGATGTGACAGGGTGTGCGTAAACTCACTTCTTCCCACTTCCCCTATCTGGGAGAAGTTCACAGAGCCCATAGCTACATTGTTGGGGGTTGG